CAGATAATTAAGAGTTGATAAGATGTGATTAATACTTTTCTGATGATTGTTAGCATTTATGTCATAATTCTTAGGGTGTGAGCTTTAAACATTTTTAAGTTAGTTTTCAATCTTAGAAGTGATTAAAATAGCCAAAATCCCCAGAAGCCTTAGAGATAAGGCTCTGGTCAGCACATAAAAGGTTGGCACTCTAAAAATCCTTCTCACTTCTTATTAAAATAATTTTAATTTCAGTTCTGTAAGTTGCAATGAAAAAAACTGAGCACACTCACTAAGCATTTTTGTGTTGAATATTCCCAAATAATATACACATGGATTTCCAGTTAAACATGATGAATGGAATACATGTGTTTATCACCACAGCTTCCCCAAAGTACCTACCATTATCCCTCAGCACCTACCATTATCATCTCAGTACCTACCATTATCCCTCTTGCCCACAAGAATATAAGCCCCACAAGGGCTAGAATTTTTGTCTGTTTTGTTTACTCCTTGTCACTAGGACCTAGAATACTATCAGACACTCAGAAGATACTAATTATTTGTATAAACAAATGTCTGTATAAGAAATCATCAAATCTCTGAGTTTCTATTCCTTACCTCCTATAGCCAGGAAACTACTCTTTTCCCCTAACCCTTACTTGAGTAATTGAGCCACGATGCCCGAGACCCAAGGGTGGCAAGCACAGCAGAGGGTGGGTGCTCTAAAGCCTGACATAGAGGAGCACACTGAACAGTGAGCTCCAGCCCCTGTCCCTACCTGGCTCCTGGAGGTCAGCTGATAGACTTAAGCACTGTCCTCACCCTCATTCCCAGCTCCAACCTTTAGGCAGGAATTAGAAAGACCCTGCTATGTAGAAACTGAATGGCACCAGCAATAAAAACGGTTCACCATCTGATCACCCTATAATCATGTCCACCAGTTGGCAAGTTCTATCCATGGGATATAGAGCTTTCAAATGGTTTTTAGGGTTCAAAGGTGTACCAGGCATTAGGGGAAAGCCTCCAACAATGACAATGAATCAGACACTAAAACAAATAGAAGAGGAAAAAAAATCTATCAAAAGATAGAAACAAGATTAGGAACAGAAGAAAACTAAAAAGAAAAAAGAAAAACCCAAACTCTAAAACTAAAAAACCCAAATATTTATTGCTATAAAAAAGAAAGAGAATAAATTACCTTTAAAAATTAATTAGAAGCTGGGTGTGGTGGCTCACGCCTATAATCCCAGAACTTTGGGAGGCTGAAGTGGGAGGATCACTTGAGGCCGAGTTCAAGACCAGGCTGAGTTCAAGACCAGCCTGGGCAACATAGCAAGACTCTGTCACTATAAAAAAGTAAAAAAATTAGCTGGGTATGGTGGTGTGCACCTGTAGTCTCAGGTACTCAGAGGCTGAGGCAGGAGGATACCTTGAGCCCAGGAGTTTTAAGTTACAGTGAGCTATGATCATTCTACCGTACTCCAGCCTAGGTGACAGAATGAGACCCTGTCTCTAAAAAATAATAACA